ATAATAATAATAATAATAATAAAGTGTCCACCTGGGTTTAACTAAGCTCCATGATGTGAGGTTGCTGCAGGTGGTCAGGTCCAGGTTCAGCAACAGTTTGTGCTCAAAGAATGAGGTCAGCTGACCTGAATATACTGAATGACCAGGTTATTCCATCAATGATTGTTTCTTCCCTGATGGCACGGACATATTCCAAGATGACAATGCCAGGATTCATGGGGTTCTTATTGTGAAAGAGTGGTTCAGGGAGCATGAGACATCATTTTCACACATGGACTGGCTCCACAGAGTCCACTGAGAATCTCTGGGATGTGCTGGAGAAGGTCAGACTCTACCATCATCAATGAAAGATGTTGGTGAAACATTAATGCAACACTGGATGGAGATAAATTGTGACATTGCAGAAACTTATCCAAACAATGACACAGTGAATTTGTGCTATAATCAAAGCTAAAGGTGGTCCAAAGAATTATTGTGACCCGTATTTTTATTTTTATCTTTTTGGTGGCAACTTTTTTGGCCAGGAAATGTATCTAATTTGCACACACTCAAAATCATTAATACAGAAGAGAAATTTTTATTTTATAGCTGTGCAAATTTTTGAAATGTGTAGAATTTTGTGTTCAGTTGATCTAATTAGAAAAAGTGTTTTAGACAAAGTTTATTAATGTAATTTTTTTGTCACGACAGGAAATGTTAATTAATTGGACCTCTTTGTTACAGGAACAGGGTGACCTAACCAATAATGACTAAGGTATGTTAGATCTTTTTTCAATTTCAATTCAAAAAACTGTCATTTTAGGCGATAAGAATGTAATAGAACCAGGTGACTGACATTGCATTTCACTAAAACTCCTGATACTATCAGTTGAAATCAGACCTGTCAGAACAACTTACGTCTGTAGACACACGACATCTGAAAGAAGTTCTTCTGTCAGTAAAAACACTGCTTTATTTTTAAGCGTTTTGCATCAGATACTTCGTCATGACTATCCTTTATTTTATTTTCATTCTGTGTTTGGTTCAACTCCTTCTTCTTTCATTGTCTGCATTAATCTGATGCTCCACATTGGTGTAGACATGTTTTTTTAAAGTTTAATTTACTGTAGTTTGCTAATGCCAACACACACACACACACACACACACACACACACACACACATGTTTTTTTCTTGACCCCGTGGGGACCTTCCATTGACTTCC